CCATACTCTTGAGCGTGTCAGCCGCCAATGAGTGTGGAAAAGAAAGAAAAAATGTGCAAAAGAAAGAAAAAAAAAAGATGTGCAAAAGAAAGACAAGAAAACGATGTGAAAAAAAAAGAAGGAAAAAAGGATTCATTGATTGAGGGAGAGCTTCTGCCTTTACTCACCAAATACCCCTTCAATCCTAGTGGTTTGACTTTCCTTAGTTGTGCTTAGATTCTCTTGTCAGAGGTCTAGCTTTCATATCACTACTAGGATTTGAATCTAGTGTTTGTCGAACTCCAAGACTTACACACACACTTTTATCATGGGATCTATGCTTTTCACATAATGCATCACTTTCTTTTGAAAGGAATCCTCTAAAGGCTGTGCACATTGTGTTTTCAAGTAATTGTGCTTCTTGGAAAATCTTGTGTGTTCTAAGGTACAACTCTGAAATTCCTTGCTTACTCCACCATATTATTTTTGTCGTTTTCTTCTTGTTCACTATTTTCAGTGTTTGTGGTTGCATTTAGTGAGGGGGAGTTTGGTTAATCGTTATCATGTCATTGCTTGTGTGTTTTATGCTTTTAGTTTAGTTGTTTGAGCTTCCTTTGTCAATTTGTGACAAAAAGGGAGAGATTGTTAGGTTTTTATATCTCCAAATCGCTTTTATTTCATGTTTTCCATCTCACGCTTCAAGATAATCTTGTCATATGTTTATTGCTTTTTCATATACTCTTGTGGCACTAATAGTTGTATTGATAGGACGAAACAAATAGAAGGACTCCTCTTAAGAGTTCACTTAGGAGCCCTTGAAACTCAAGGGCCGGGCTTGACTCCTTGACACCAGTTTGAATACACCTGCATTTCATTTTCATGGATTTAATAGTAGTTTTCTCTTTTCAAATACATATACTCTTTGTGAAACAAACAAACTCATATTATTGGCTAACAATTAAAAAGATAAATAAACTTGAATCACACAAGTACATTACATTATCATTCTCACATGGACTAAATAGGAAATAACCTGATAATCAAATTATGTATACACTTTGTGACATATAGGTTCTCAGTTTGAAGTTAAAAGTACATGCATAATCCTCTTCCTTGTTGACTGAGTGTTTACCATTTCTCACAACTCTGGCAAGCATAAAGCTTCATATTGTCCTGTAATTTAGTTACCAAAGAGCAAAAATGAGATGTCAAGGGCATAAATATAAATTCATTCTAGATTGGTTCAGGGGGTTAACATAATTCATGCAGTTCAAACACATAAAAGCATTATTAGTTATTTAAATCACTATTAATCAAATTAAATCTCTTAGAATACCCGCAAAGGGCATGGAAGCCAACATTTTTAGAGTAATACTATACAAAGAAAAAAATGAAATCAATTTACTACAAAATGACATGACAAGTGTAGATTTTGAAAAATGTCACTGTCATACTATTCTAGTCAATAGTCATGAATTCTATTTGACTAGGAAAGGACAAACTAATTTGAAATCTCACAATAGAAAACATGCCATGCTTGCTCCCACCGTTGTCCAATTATCTTTGCGGCTTCCTGTTAACAAGGACAAATCATGGAGGATAAATGCCAATGCAACAGAAACAATAAGTGCAATTCTATAGAAGAAAGAAGTTAAAAATATTGAGCAAGAACTGATCAATTCTGTACATTGTCGAAAGTTCATCTTGAAGGAGTTTCTTCTTGATCAAACGAAGTTCATGAAGGATATTACTTAAGCTCATTCAACCTTGTGGTGACTCTATCGAGCATGCCACTCCAATCTTGACTATGGAAATTAGACATTCCCTAATTCTATCGCCATCTCTTGAATTAATTCCCAAGTACTGGCACCAACAGCAGTAGCTACTGCTGCTGTTGCTCCTGCCTCTTCTTCATCATTGTCTAGGAGCATCGGGTCTACAATCTCCATCACATGGTCAGGAAAGGCCATCCTAGCAAAGCTACTAAGATTAAGGCCTTCTTCAAACATGCTATCAGTGGGTCTTTTCCCTGTTATTACCTCCAATAATAGGATCCTATAACTGTAGACATCTCCATAAGTTGACATCTCACTTCCAAGACCATATTCTGCCATTAAAACAATTCACATTGAAAACCCCTAACAATTTGTTTTGCCTAAAAACAAAAATATTATAAAAGAAAAAAAGGAACAATCAAATCTGGTATATGAGAATTTCAAAATAATAATATGAAAGCAGTACATTATACATAATCGCAGTTTTAGCAATGGAAAGCATAGCCATATATTAATTCTATGACTAACAGTTGACTAGCTACAGACTAGGTCTTAAGGTAACCATGCAAAATTCCCCATCTTGAGAAATGGATAGATCAGTACCCATTTAACATTAACCCATTTAACATTCCTTCAATGATAGCTAACTTATATTTTGTTTGAAACTTTAAATTTTCATCCTAGAATAGGCATATGTCAAAGTAAATGAAAGGTAAAGAGAATTTATTACCTGGAGGTACATATCCAATGGATCCCCTTATTCCAATTGAACTACTTTGATTAGGAATGGTAAGCTCTGGGCAAAATCTAGCTAGGCCAAAATCTCCAACACGGGCAACCATGTCATGATCAAGAAGGATATTACTCGGCTTCAAATCACAATGAATGATTGGTGAATGGCATTAGCGATGAAGATAATCAAGTGCACAAGCCACATCTATGTATGTCAAAGTAAATGAAGGGTAAAGAGAATTTATTACCTGGAGGTACATATCCAATGGATCCCCTTATTCCAATTGAACTACGATGGTAAGCTCTGGGCAAAATCTAGCTAGGCCAAAATCTCCAACACGGGCAACCATGTCATGATCAAGAAGGATATTACTCGGCTTCAAATCACAATGAATGATTGGTGAATGGCATTAGCGATGAAGATAATCAAGTGCACAAGCCACATCTATGGCAATGTTTATTCTTTCTAGAAGGTTGAGTCTCCAGTGCTCATTTTGCCCATCATTAGTTTCTGGACTTAAATGCAGCCATCCCTCTAGACTCCCATTATAAACTAGAGCTTTAAACTCATTTCCTTGAAAATCAACACTAGAACAAGAAGTTATGATCCTGACCAGGTTTTGGTGTCGAATATTTCTCAAAGTTTCGCACTCTGCCATGAAACTCTTTGCAGCTCCACGGTTTTGAAGGTTAAGTACTTTGACAACAGCAACAACCTCCCCATCTTGATCAAGAATCCCTTTATATACAGAGCCAAAACTTCCAAAACCAATCAAATTCGTGGAAGTGAAACCATCTGTTGCTTTGAAGAGTTTTTCATAAGAGATTTCAAGAACGATTCTTTCAACAATGGAATTGTATTATGAGTTGTGCTTTTCTTCTTGAAGCAATAAACTATGCAGAGAGACACTGGTGTTCCTCCTACAAGTACAGAAGCTACTGTAATTGGTAATATATGTGAAAGAGGCATCTTATGCTTTGATTTTTGGGTGATGTAGTTGGGTAGTTGTAATTCAGACACTGCAGGAAAAACTGCTTTCACCGGTGTTTCAAAAACGCCGCTATAAGTGGCAAAAACATTGCTAAAAGGATATACCAGTGTTTTTACTTTACGTCGCTGACGGGGCCGTCGCCATAGGTATAAGGCGCTTTATAAACGTCGTTGATACTTACAGTGGCGTCTTCATAAGCGTCGGTATAATATGCAATCTACTTAAATAATAACTGATAACATCACAGGATATAGTGACGTTTTGAACAAAAACGCCACCTTTTTTTTATTTCATAATTTAATTAATATAAAATATGCTGTTGAGCTGGTTATTTATTCACATTCCAATTTGCACAAAACCATAAAGCACAACATAGCAAAAAAAATCAAAATAAGCTGCAAATTCCTCTTACATCTGGATATTTTAATGCTCTTACTAAATACAAAATAAAAAAAAATCTAACAAGATTTTAATTTTGGGTCTGTTGAACAAAAAAAAAAAAAAAAAAAAAAAAAAAAAAAAGAGCTGCAAATTCCTCTTACATCTTGAATCTGCGCTTTCCCTCAGCAAAATTATCCTTTTCCCTCAACCAAAATAGTACCTCTGTTAACTTGTAGAACTTGTAGATGTCCTCAACATATACCACAACTGCCAATTCATTATCAAGATCTGCTGCATCAATGTCTACTAAGTAACAAGGAATAATATACATATACAAATAGAAAAAGTACAGAGGGGAAAGAATTGATGATGAAATTAAAATTGAGAGAAGTCCACACTAACAACCTTACTTCGAGCAGTGAGGATCGAAGTCAAGGTTTTGACCTCATTCCTAGAAGACCCAACTCGCGACTTTCTTGCAATGACAGCAACAGGTTTTTTCAAGTCTGAAAAATGAAAACAGAAGAAATTCATAGATCATTTTGTTTGCTGTTATTTCATTTTTCATTAGCCAAAAGAAAACGGAAGAAATGCAGGACACCATTTTAATTTTCTTAGATTTCAGAAATGGAGAGTAGTCCCCTTAAAAAAAACAAAGAAATTCAGCGAGAGAGGAATGTTATTTAAGGAAAACAAATATATGTTTAATATACATCTTGGTGTTCTTGATACGTAACGTGCCTTAGAGAAAATTGATTTTTGATTTACTAATGGACATGTAGGGCAGCTCCACTAAGATCCACACTTGCCACAAATTTTAATTCAGTGACAGTCTTATCGGTAACCCAAATATGCAATCAATCACCAAGTGTAGAGGCCTAATAAAGTATGAATAGAATACATACACAGCTCAAGACTTCATAGTCTCCTCAGAAGCCCAAATTTGCCTCTCTGACATAATTTCACTGTAGGAACTGGATACATGCTTCTAATATTTTTTTTCTTTTACAAATAATATTGATAAAAACTCTCCAACAATAATCAATTTCGTCAAAAAAATTAATGAGCAACATTTAAAGCACCAACCCAACACCCTATACTAAATTGATGAACTCAAAATGGAAGAACTATACCTGTTATCTCACAAGCAATTATCAATTGTGGAAGGCTGCCTCAAGAGTTCTTCTGCCTGCACAAATTCAGCATTCCAAAGTGCTGTTGGGTCCTTTGGAATGCAAGCTTGCACACTATACACCTGAACTGAGTAATTGCCATTAAATTCTTGTTTGGATTCTGCAAATAACTCAAGACAAGACAAATCCAAATTAACATTTCTTCCATGCTGTTGGCAATAGGATTATCCATAACTAAGAACTACGGAAACTCATTAAGAAAAACTTCATCTTTCACATTTCTCAGAAGAAAATAAATACATTTGGATTTCTACTAGGCAGATATTAGAGAATGATAATTGTTAGTTTCAGTACATGGTAGCCTCAAATAAATGACAAAAGACAACCTAGTAAAACAGGAACAATTTATATTACCCAAATTTCATACTTTTGAGTAAAGAGCAGCAACATTTTAGTCCATATCTAATATCTTCAAACTGCATGTAACTAAAAATTTTAAAGGCTTATATCTTCAAATGTGTACAATATTTGAATTATTCTAAGGGCATCCACACCCGATGGAAGTGATGAGTGATGTGGTGGTTCTAATTGAAAGCACCAGATTAACAATATGAAGGTTAAGAATGAGGGTCAAAGAAGTGAGAAGAAACAGAAAGACCTATGTTTTAGGCACATATGTAAGAGTGACATTGCAAAAGAGGAACACATAATAACAACACATGGATAAGAATTAATTATCATGGGATGAACATGACATTCTAATAAAATTTCTAACCTAAAAGTTTAGGCCCAGAAACAAGCCTTATATGGTAAACTGAAGGATTATTCTTCCACCATCCAGACAAAGTAGATACTACTTCGAACCCATTTCCATGTTTTTCAACAAATTCTTGTAGCAACCTATATCCAAAACCATTAACCATTTATTACCAAAAAGAAAATGCGCATAAATTATAATTTACATGATTGCTTCTTATACGAGCTCTTACCTCTTTGACACATTTGATGGCAGCAAAAAATTACAACTTAGCCACCTGTAGGAAACCTAAGGGAGACACCCATCAACTTAAGAAATTACTAATCAACAAAATATAAGCTCTACATGTTCATAAAACAAGTTAATTGTCTCACATTGAACTTCTAAACAAATGAAAACAAAGAATTTAGAATCTTCCCGCAAAAAAGCAGAAGTGCAAGAGAACTTCAATGCCATTCAATGAGAAAACAACAATACAAGCAAAGACACTCCAAATCAATAAAATAAAATTAACCTGGTGAATGAGGAAGCTTTGAAGCTAAAATGAAAGATGGCCAAAAGTTTTCTCATTAGCAAGATAAAGCAAACAGATTCACATATTGAAAATTTACAGCATAAGCTTATATCTGAATTGTACAGCCCACATGAAAAATAACTCAAAAGAAAGAGAAGGGGCGCTGCACCAAGACACAAGACCAAGATCTTATGCAATAATCATATTAAGCAACATGGTGCAGATGCTAAACTATTATTAGAAGAAAATAGATCACCAGTTCACTACGGTAATGGAAGAAATCGTCAGTGAATCTAGTTTCGGACCGTCTTCAATCAATTGATCGATTCCTGTATGTGTATTAACCAATTCAATACTGTAAACACAAGAAGACCTAAAGAAACAAACGAGAAAAACATCGAAACACTACAAATAGCAGCAACATACTCTATCTTGAATGCATCCAGGACTTGTTGCAGCTGCCACAACTTTGTGGATCCAAAAACAGCACTGGGAACAAGAGGGTGTTTCAAAACAAAGACTGCCCAAAGGAACCAAGAGTTAATAGTTGATAAGTCAAATACATAGTGCAATGTATTTATTTCATCAATAACCTACACCAAGAACATATCACACTATAAACAAAGGATATGAAAAATTGATACCCATTAAAAAATGCATACATGAAGATTTTATTTAGCTATCTAGTCTAGTAGAACTTAAAGTGATTTTATTTAGCTATCTAGTCTAGTAGAACTACAGGGCCAGACAGATCATAAGCAAGGTAAGGAAGGAGGGAATCAAAGAAGATTCACCAGAGTGGAAATCAGGTGTCTGCAGTGCATAAAACCCATTGTGAGGAAGAGAGACATTGCTGATGCAAAGATTGACATAGTATGGTTGTGATGGTGGCTCTGTGACTCTGTACACAAACGCAATAGAGATTAGCCTCGATAGACTAACCGTCGAATTGCATAAAACGCACAAACGCAAAGATCACCATGAACGAGTCAGAAATAGAGTCGGTTTAAGGATGTAAATATGCGCATAGGGACTAAAACTTATAGATCTGAACGAAAATAATCAATTGATCAAATCCAGAGAGAGAGTGTTCGATCGTGATCAATAGACTAAAAATCAATCAATCAATCGATCGATCTGTGTTCTCTTTAACATAAATTAGTATGTATATATATATATCAAACAGATTTGAGATCATAGGTACAGATCTGAGTTTGTATATAAACAAAATCAAAAAATCAGAGAAAGACTCACAAAATTAATCTTCAAATTGGACTAATCGAGAGCTTTGAGCCAAGATGGAGAACCAGATAGAGATTACGATCGTGAATCAGAGACCACAATGCTCGATCTAGTGAACTTTCACCATAAGAAAGAGGAGTAATGAAGAGACAGAAAACCTAGATCTGTCTCGGGACTGAGAGAAATGGAAGAATGAAAAACGTGTGGCCTTAAAAGGGAAAATACGTTAGTAACACCAAGCACGCGTGTTAAAATGAGTTGCTTACAAAATATTTTGAAAATGTTTACAACAGCGTTTTTTAAAAAAATGTCGTAACAAAAGCGTGGTTATAGGTCAATTTTCTTGTAGTGAGAGATACCACGACAAAGTCTTTAATTTCCAATAATTGATATTGCACTTGCATTTGTGAAAACTCCTTTCATTGGTACCTCACCCTCAAAATCATTGAATGACAAATTGAGTTTTTGTAGGGCCAAATTTTCAAAAACTGTTGGAATTTTGCCACACAAGTTGTTATGAGAAAGATCAAAGTTTGCAATCCCTCTCAGAGTTTCCAATGAAAGAGGAATAGATCCTTGGAAGAAATTTTCCTACAAGTATAGGTTTTCAAGGCTAGTACAACTACCAAGACTGCTAGGAATTTCACCAGACAACCCATTCTCAGAAATATCCAATTTCATTAAATTTTTTAGGTTTCCAACATCAGCAGGCAAGGAACCAAACAAATGGTTTTGAGCTAGATTTAATGAAATTGATAAAGATAAGATTCTCAAGAGTTCTCCAGGAATGGTGCCACTCAGGTTGCTTTGAAATAAGTGCAGCAACAACAAATTTTGGCAGTTACCAAGACTTGAGGGTATGGTCCCCTCTATTCTGTTGCCAGCCAAGTAAAGTTCAGTCAACAATGACAAGTTTCCAATGGAATTTGGAATTTTTCCAAGAGCTTGTTATTATCAAAACTCAACCTTTGCAACTTCTGAAGATTACCAATGCTAGGGGGAATTTTGCCGGTGAATTGATTGCTGTACATACCTAACAAAGCCAGGTTGACAAGATTACCTATTGTTGAAGGAATAGTTCCATATATTTTGTTTTCGTCAAGCCTTAAAAAAAAAGAGATAGTTTGATAAATTGCCCATAGAATCTGGTAATACCCCTCCGAATTAATTTTTCTCCATACTCAACTTTTCCAAATTGCTACAATTGACCAAAGAAACAAGAATGGCTAGTTCATCAGGTTCCCTGCTTCCGAAATGGTTATTTGATATAGTTATCTCCCTGAGATTCTATAGGCTTCCAAAATCATTTGTTATTTTCCCATTGAAGTTGTTTTCTCCCACATCAAAACTTACTAGTTCTAAAGAATTGGATATTGAAAGTGGAAGAGGTCCAGTAAATTGGTTGCCATATAGCTGGAGGATTTGAAGATGGGGGGAACATGGAACCAAAGCCAGGTGGTAGACTACCATGAAGTTGGTTATAAGGGATAGAAAAAGTAGTTAGTAAGGAGAGGTTATAAATGGAAGAAGGGATCATACCACAGAATTGAGTGACACCCAATCCAAGGAAATTTAGATTTTTCAATTGTCCCAAGGTATCTGGAATACTTCCACCGAAAGGATTATAAGCCGCAGTAATTCTTACAAGAGAAGTAAGATTCCCAATGAACGGAGGAATACCTCGTGTCAAATTGTTCAAGTGAATTCCAAGGTATATAAGCTTTGACAATGAAGTAAGCTCTTCGGGGAATTTTCCAACTAGATTTTTGAAACCTACACCAAGGTATGTGAGGTTTGAGCAGCGAGAAAGGTTGGCTAGAATTTCTCCTTCAAAATTGTTTATGCTCAGGTTCAGTTTTTGAAGCCTGAACAGATTTCCAATTTCAGCAGGGATTTCACCCTGGAAAGTGTTGTTATTGAGCCTCAACTCGTGAAGCAAGCTGAGATTCCCAATGTGAGGAGATAAGGAACCAACTAGATCTCTGAATTGTAAGTCTATAATGGTGACTCCCTTGTGCCGGTGACTGCATCTAACACCTTTCCACTCACAGAAATGGTCAGAATTGTTCCATGAGTTCACAATCCCATGAGGGTCTTGTGTTATCATTGTCTTGAAGGCGGGCAATGCAAGGCGATCAGTCTCATTCCCAACAATGGTATTTGCAGTGGTGGTACTGACTATGAGACATATCTCACTCCACAGCCGAAAACCCATCATTGAAAGCAGAAACGCCATTTCTTTTTTCTTCTTTGTGGGTATGCAAAGTTAGCTTTTAATTTTTTGTGATTTAAATCACCCACTGATTCTAACATGGCAGCTGTAGACACCCCATTTTTGACCGTCCTCACGACTTGGTTGTGCTTGTAGGTACACCCAACAACTAGTTCGATTGCTTGCTGAGTACTCGACTGTCGCGGCGGAACGTCACCGGTTCGAGCTTCTCGGACCTTGTATCCTTTCTGCCCTTTTCTTGGACCTTGGCTAGGTCCTCTCTTAGTGACCTTCTTGGTGCACTGCCGGCCATGGCATGGAACTGCCGGCCATTGGTGATGCCCTGCCGGTCATCAGTGAGCCATTGCCGGCCATTGATGATGGCCGGCACCTCCCTGTCTCAATTGGTTTCCTCTAGATCTTTTGATTCAGTTGGTTTTTTGTTTGCTCCCCTCCATACACGTGTATGGAGGGATGGAACCCTTGTAAAGCTTCTTGAAGAAGCTTTAGCTTTGCATTCCTCTATATAAGGAGAGAGCCTCTCTCCTTAGAAGAGGTTCAGCTATTTTGAAGAGAAAAAGCTCTCTTTATCTCTATATTGTTTGTATTTTGTGCTTAGAAGTTGGATTTCCTTGCACTTTTACACTACAACACATAGAGATACACCACCACCATTGGACTAAGCTTCTTGGAAGGAATTCTTGAGCTCTGAAAACTGGTTTCCACCCCCTGAAGTTGCTGGTTTCGAAGAGGGTCTTCAAGGGTGAGTATTTTCCCCATTTTTGCACCTTCTTGTGCCTCACTTTAGCCCTCCTTCATATTGATTTGGGATTTTCTTATAACTGAAAAAAGTCTTGTATTTAAGTGCTTTTGAAGTTTTCTTAAGGTCATTTTGTTGTTAGGGGTGTGTAGCCCCCTTTCATGCTTTGTTTGGCTTTGTTTTAAGCCATTCCTTGAGGCCTCCGAGATAGCCTTGGTTTGGCCTTCTTACCACTGAAATCCAGCGGATTTTTAGTGGTAAAGGTGTGGTTTTGAGGTCCTTAATCAGAGGGGGTGGCCCTCTCTCTTTTGGTTCCTCTTTGGTTGCATTTTTGGCCTTCCAAAGGACCATCCTTCTATGTATTTTTGAGTCTTGGTTCAGGCCTATTTTTGTGACTTTTAGGACCTTCCTTGGCCCTATCCATGGTTGATTTGGTCATATTTTGCATGCATATAGTATGTGTAGTGTAACTCCATCCATAGCTCATCAAAGTAGCATGTGTGCTTAACTTGTCTTGAGTCTATTTCAGTGGGTTTTGGTGATGTTTTACCATGCCATGAACCTTTTTTGGGTTGGTTTTGTTACTCCATGCTTGCATGATGCACTTGTAGTGTAAATCCCCTAAACTAGCTTCATATGCTTTATGCTTTGCCATGTCATGTTAGCTTGTTTGGTGTACATTTTCGCATGTATTTGGTCATCATTTGGCATGTCATGACCATATCCATAGTTTGTTTGATCATCCTTTGCATGCTCCATATAGGTGCAGAACAAATCTTGTTTACTAGCCATTTGTGCATGATGTTTTGATTCATCATACTAGCATATTCTGGCTTTACTCAAACTTGATTTTAAGCTTATTTTGAAGTGTTCTAGGACTATTTTGGGCTTCCATGGCCATATCACTCGTGCTTTCTATAGCTATAGTGTAAATGCTTAGGCTAGTCTTGGGTTTTGAGGCCCCTACCATTCCATACATGTGATGTTTGCATGCCTTGCCCTCATTTCATATGCTATTTCAGTCCATGAAATGTTGTCATACACTTGCATTTGACATGCCTTGAATGCTTTATAGAGCTTGTGCTTTATGCCTCAAGAATGAGCTTTTGTGCATGCCATTAAGCCTAAGCCTTTGGCTCATCATTTCAGCGCATTTTGGGTCCTATTATACCATGATGTAACTCTGTTTTATGTCGCCCAAGTCATGCCATGTTTGGTTTCAATAGGTGTAGTGCATTGCCTCTTTAAAGCCTTGCATGCTCCATGTTTTTGGCTTTGTGTTCTAGCCTTTGTTGGCTAGCTTTGAGCTTAGTTTTGGTCTTGTTTGGACCTACCCTAGGACTATTTTAGGTCCCCTCAGCCCCTTGGGGTTTGCCTTGCATGGCCATGGCTTAAGTCCCCTTGCTCACTTTGAGCTTTGAGTATCATAATACGCTATGCTTGTGTTGTTGAGTTGATTGGGCATCACTTTACATGGTATTTCAGAGCTTACCTCATTGCCATACATCTATGTTTGTCGCTCCTTAAGTGTGCTTAAGAGTTGTCCTCTCTTTGTGCCTTAATACTTGAGCCATTTGGCATACATGTTTGTCTTGCCATTTCATGCTTTTCACGCCACCAATTCATCATTTTTGGCCACTGATTTGGGCTTAGTTAAGAGCTGCCCACATTAGTTTCATGTTCATGTTGCATTTTGTCATGTTGTCCAAGGTTGTTACCTCACATCATGCATATGTGCTTGTTGCGTGTCATTAGCCTTGTCAGGTTGTTCATATTACATGTTTGCCATGCTTACGTGTTGCATTGTTTGGATTAGGTGTTAATCCGAGCATGAGGAACGAGGGGCGTTTCATACTCCGAGTGGTGGAAAGTGTCCCAATTCTCGGTCGCCGAAGCTCTTGATGATTCATGATAGAGTTCTAGGCTTTACTTGCTTTATTTGTGCATTCGTTTTCATATTGATTTGCACAAGTTGGATCTTTGGCCATCATGCATCTGGATGCGTCATTGATGGTCGTGGATCCGACTAGGCCCCTCCCTTGATGTTTTGAGGTGATATGGGGTGGCATAATGCATACATGCCCTTGGGAGACCCTCAATTTTCTCTATTTTGTACTTTGTTGCAGCTTGGTGTCACAGCACACCAATAGCCGGCAGTGCCCTGTTGTTGGCCGGCAGTGCTCCTTTCATGGCCGGCAGCCCACTGGTGTATCCCTCCAGCAGTGTTTTGGTAAGTTCCATCAATAAGCACTGGAAGACACCTTGCCAGCAAAGCCTCTGGAGAGCAACCGGAAGGCGTTTCGAGGCGAGGAACCGAAGCAAGCATGCATACCTTCCTTCTTCGAACAGAGTTGGAGCATCTTCATTTGTTGCTCTTCATTTGTTGTTTATTAGTTAATTTGATAATTAATTAAAGTTGTGTAAATAATTAGTTGTAGCTAGTTATTCATTTGGTTTTGTAATTAATTAGCTTGTTAGTTAGTTAATTAGGCGGCTTTTATTACTTATTCGGACCCTCCGAGCGAGGGCACAATTGTAGTAAGTGTGCGTGCGTGTGATGTATGTCTTCCAACCCCACGTCTTTCTCCCTTTTATTTACCCGCTTATGATGGTTAGATTAGGGAATGTTTCAATTAGCATACTTATGCTTGCATGTTTGCATCATTCATCTGTATTGCATGCACCGGGCACGGCGCATCATACTAACTGCATTTGTATTTCAATTCCGAGTTGAATGCTTGTTAGTTGTAGCATTTCACATGCCATCTTTAGAATAGCCGAGCCTATCTTAGTTGCATTTTGCATGTGTTGCATTAGGCATTTCTGTATAGTTAGGACCATGCATGGATTTCTAACATAGCTTCGGTTTTGGCTTGAAGTACTCGGTAAGTACTTATGCTTTAGCATTCTTGCATGCGTGTAAGTGACTGCCATGAAAGCATGCTTGCCATGAGGCTATTTGCTTAAGTATTTAACTACATGAATGCCTGTGGATGAAGGTTTGATTGCATGAATTGGAACAACTCGATAAGTGTGAGTTTTAAGCTCACTTGAAGTGGCAAAATCATGTTTTTCTAAGCCCACCTGAGGGTGGAAATCCAACACATTTTAGCCTACTTGCGAGTAGCGCAAGCGTTTTAAAACAAACCATGAAGAATGTTTTCGCCTTCCAGATCGCAGGCGATCCAGTCTATGCTTGTAATTTCATGCGCATGCACATAGTAACATAATGTTTTCAAAACTAGATATCATGGTTAGTAGAGGCCGATCTTTGATCGGGCGAGCGGGGGTGCTCACGTTTTGACCTTCCCCAATCGTACCCAAGTTCCCGAGCCGAGGCAACGTTGGTGATGACGGACACGTGGCCTTAGGCAATGAGTCAGGGTTTCCAAAATTCTCCCAAAATAAATATTTAGGTGGCGACTCTATATCTGGCAAAGTAGTACATGTTTGGCACTTCTTTCTAAAAAAATCTATTTTCCAAAAAGATTTGTCGGATTTGGACTCTTTGATGAGTCATCGATCTTGCATTGCACTCTGCGAGATTAGATACAAGACCGTGACACAAATTGAGTCCAAACTGTAGTGAGGCCCAAGGGCGCGTCTACAGTTTCTGGCGACTCTGCTGGGGACAATAGAGAACTTGACTCGAACTCATGATATCATGTTTTGACTACACTTATGTGTTTCTTTGCATTGCATGTGCATTGGTACGCCTAGGACACCGTGCTTTCCGTATGCTATTCCTGAACGGTTTGCCAAAGGCTCACTTCAAGAAGCATGCCATAAGGCTAACCGGTTGCGGGCTCTACCACGACGGGAACACAAACCCTGGTTTTACCGGGGCACCCTTTTGACCATTTGACCTACTGCATATTCGGAATCCATAGTGACCATTCCAAACTAGGACAGGTTGCTTACCCGATTATAGGTTGTTTGAAACCGCTGCGTGCGTAGTGAAACCCTAGCTCCTGACAAAATATGACAGGGAAACCCTACCCCCAACATAGGGGTGTTTTGGCTCTCATTTGCTTGCTATGTGCTTTTAGAGTGTGCCTCTACAGGAATGCATGCATCAGTTTGCAAATTTGGGTATCAGGCCTGCGGGCACCAACATCAATATTTGGGGGATCAGTTTTACCTGAGGGTATCAGATTTGAGGCAGAACTTTGGGGCAAAATTCAATAAACAGTCAAATCTGTTTTGATGAAATCAGGCTGAGCTGTTGTTTGTTTTCTCTTTTGCTAAGTAGTCTTGGAACCAT